TGCTCCAAGCTTGCCTCAGTGTTTACCAGTGAGTGTTCATGCTAATATGCACAGATATATATTCCAGAGAGTACATTGGTTTGATATGGAAAGAAAAATAAATTTAATTTGTTTTTTAATAAATTGGTGAGCAGGCAGGTGACTTACAGGATGTGTTGCTGTTGAAGTTGTCTATTGAAACACTAAAAGGACCAAATCTTTTGCTAGACAGATTTATCAGCAGCAGGAATTAAGTGCCTGATGTAAAGTTGAGTGCACTTAATGTTCCAAAACAGTAATTAAATCAATGGAAAAGGAGGAGAAAAACGGGTCATTTACTATCAATATTAAGCTTCACATGTAATGTGAAGTTTTGCTATACTTCACAAATCTGCTCTGCAAGTTTCTTTTTGCTGCAAAATTTGGAAAAGTTAGAGTAAGATTTTGGGCTGTTTAGACAGCTACTGATTTAACATAGTACTTTTAATTCTTATTTTTATTTCTTTAATATATTAACTTTCTATATCTCAAATTGTTCAAAAAGATATCACATAGCTTGTTAAAAATTAAAATTATTAGAACAGCATTAAATGACATCTCTCATTAGCATTAAAATTTGTGTTGCAAATCTTAAAAGAAGCTTCAAGAGGCCTTCTGAGGCAACTTCTTAGAATGTCAGTATGCTTTCTCTTTACATTAAGTCTCCAGGTAGATTTTTGTACTGATTACATGTTGGTGCTGGAAATGGGAGCTTGTGAATTCATTTACTCTTTGCACGTTTGCTTTTTTTTGGACCCAAGCAGAATTAGTGCATACAGTTTTATGAGATTCTGGGATAAAGAATTATTTTCCTCCAGAAGTTTGACCATGAATGTAAGAAGCAATTCTGAGCTTAGTCTGAAATCAAATAAATACTGTTTGGTGTGGAATTGATGAATGATTTCTATTTAGGATGTTCAAACTACACTCAGTTCCTGACACTTTGAATTACTGCTTTGGACATGTATAGTTATTTTTCAGATGACTCTAGAGTTCAACCCATGTTTATTATCATTTGTACAGAATATGGTACACATTTTTAGTATTGGGTCAGGTTTGCTTTATGAGGATTTCTTAAAAAAAATAGCAAGCAGTTATGCATTGTATTTATTGTGTCAGAAATGATGCAAAACAAATACAACGATGGATACAGCCTTCTGAGTGAAGATAGATGTGCTATAATGTTTCTAGTCTTTGAATAAATTGAGTCTTCATTAACTCCAAGTTTTTCTGGATAAAACAGACTGAAAACTTCCCGTACTACTTAGTTTTTTACTTGAATATTAGAGGTAATTTTCAAAGAGAGTGGAAAGCCATTAGCATTAGCCAGCCATGGCTAGGCTTCACGAACGAAGATTTGAGGACGGCTCTACCCACGTTTGTTTAGCCACCAGCCACAAGCGTGCTGGTGGCTAAAAAGGCCAATACGAGAGAGGCACGTCCAGTTGCAAAAGACACAGCAGAAAGACTCCTTAGGTCGTATATTCTGCTAGGCACGAGTCTTTCTGTGTTGTCTTTTCTCCTTGAGAGTGATCCTGCATGCTTTCTCAAAAGCATCAGCAGCATTATAAATAGTTTGTCTCCAGACCTCTCAATTGGAGGCCAGAGTAGACCAGTTATGTTGATCAATATGGCCAAAGCTGAG